AATACTGCATTGCTGGAAGAGAAATTGCTTACCTTTCAGCACATGCTCAGAAGAGCCTGTTTCCCTTCTCAGCTTTCATTCATTCATTCATTCATTCATTCATTCATTCATTCATTCATTCATTCATTCATTCTAGCTTTATTGAAAGCACCCAACACTGAATTTCTATTATCTATGTGCTTATTGTCTCCAACACAAAAAGTAATTTTGGGCAACTTGTGTTCATGGTTATGTTATAGAGCAGCCCCGATATTGAACGGGTTGCCTGGCTGTGAAGCTTGGAAATCATGTTGGGCGCCAGCTGTTACAGAGCAGCCCCGATATTGAACGGGTTGCCTGGCTGTGGGTCCTCACCCGCGCGCTTAAAAGGGACTTATTAATACTCCACTACAGGCACACACAAAAGGTTAATAAAAGGTTTATTTACAAGGGAAAAGGAAATAAGGAAAATGTACAACTCAGGGACAAAATAGGGAAATAAAGTCTTCAATGTGTCCTACCCGATCCGCCGACCTGGAAAACCAAAGTCACTCTCAGAGCTGGCCGGACGCTGCGAGCTGGCGGAGAGCAAAATGGGGGAACCCCCCAAGTCCACATGTCTGGCTTTATATCAACCTGGCTGCTTAAGCCCACCCTCAGGTCCCAGCCACCTTCCCTTTGGTGGTGATGGGATTTGGAGTTCCCAGTGTCTTTGGCTTTGGCCTGGGGTGGGGGTGGAGTCCACAAAGCCTGTATGGAATTTAGATTTAGGACTTCCTTTTCCCCTAACAATTACATCCACAGAGCTCAAAACAGAGACTGGCACATGAGGTTCTCAAAATCACTTGGATGGATGAATGAGTGACCAAGGTTAAAGACCACAGATCCTGCCCTGTAACAGGGGCCTGGTGAGGCCTGGCACCCTCTTCCTCAGGCAGCTCTGGGACCACAGGGGCTGGAGCAAAGACCAGTTCTCCCACAGCAAGAGTATTTGGGGGAGGGGCTCAGGGAGCCCAAATTGGATCCACCTCAGAGGACAGACTTTCAGGGCCTGGGCTCTATTATTTATTGCTGGATGGTGAATTTTCCAAGAACCTAATAGTTTAAAACATTTTTACTGCTATTTCCTGTGTGATATTGTTATAGGACAGGGAGAGGGGCAGACAATATTAACAAGCAATACATATTTGGTCATTCACATTCAGTCTTCATCCACAGTTCCTGGCTCAGAGCTCCCCAAATCCATGGAATTTGTTAATCATTGAGATTGTTAAAGGTGTCTCTTGTTATGTTAATGAAGGCAACTCTTGGAATACACCTGAGGATGGGTTGCTGCTTGCCAGGAAAAACACCACCAATGGAAGGCACAAGTTCCAGCCCCAACAGCAGACCTCCAGGGAGAGGAGGGGAGAAGGGCTGGAGGCAGAATCAATTGGCCATGACCAGTGAATCAAGCATGACTATGAAGGAATCTTCCATGAAAGCCCAAAAGGAGGGCCTTGGAGACTTAAGCAGACCTGCACTCCTGGGGAACACAGGAAGCTCCTTCCTTGCCCCACACCTTGCCTTACGCGTCTCTTCTATCTGGCTGTTCCTGAGTTATAGCCTGTTGTAGGGTAAAGAAAATGTCAGGTTGTTCTGCCCTCCCGCCATCAGGATAGATGATGGATCCTTGCGCTCCTGAATGCATGCCTGATGGCGGGCACCTGGAGTAGGGTGTGGGCATAGGTAGATGGGATTCACCTGGGCTAAGACTGTGCTTTTTAAGGGCGGCATCACGGGGGCGCCAGGAGAAGCCGAAAGAGAAGCCAAGAGAAGCAGAAGCCAAGAGAAGGCCAGAGAGCCCAGATAGTGAGGATTTGCTGGGGGCTGGGAGGCCTGCCAGCCTCCCGAACCCCCAGCACCCTTGCCTGCCATATGCCTGGTGAACCCCAATAAAAGCCTGCAAAAAAAACCACTGAGGACTCTGACTCCCCCTTCACCCAGTCTGCATGGGATCAGAAAACCTGCACTGTGGTCCTTCCTGCCTTTACACCTGTGTAATAAATCACTGACCTAGTGAGAAAGCAGGTTTCCTGAATTCTGTTAAATGGTCTACAAATTAGTCAAACTTGAGGAGGGTGTCCTGGAAATCTCTGACTTGTGGCCAGTTGGTCGGAAGCACAAGTCCAATCTGGACTGTGGTTGGCGTCTAAGTGGAGGGTGGTCCTGGGAGACTGACCCCGTGAGTTTGTGGAATCGGAGCTCAGGATTGAATTGAATGGTCAGACTCTTGCATACACATCCACGCAGAAACTGCTCTCAGGACACCAACACATCCTGATGGTGTGGTCAGGAATTCACATTGATGCTACTTGTTGATGATTCTTCTATTCCATGGGGCATTAAGATCACTCGATGGCATTCAGCTGGCAGAAGGGCCGGTCTGGCGGGTCCAGATCAGCTACCCTCGGGTATCTGGTAGCTAGAAGACTGGGCTCACTACTACTATGCCTGTACCTGGTATCCCCAAGCTGGTAGCCTAGGGGCGTCAGACTTCTGCGTGGCAGCTCAGGGCTCCCAAAGCTATTTAAGCCCAAAGCAGATGCTGTAAGGCTGCTTTTGACTGGCCTGGGAAGATGTGTGACATCACCCCCACCAAGTAAGACACAGAGCCAGTCTGACTCAAGAGAAAGGGTAGAAACTACTGGGTGTGAATACCATGAGGGTAGGGGTGGGCTGAGCTGAGAAACAGAGCCTGTAACTGATGGAGGATACAAAAAAAAAACTGAGAAGGAGGTGCCCACAGGACCAGAAACTTGGCTCACAAAATACCAAGAGCTGGAGGTGGGGGTAGAAGGGATTAGCCTAGCCATTGACACAGCTATGGAAACCAAGATCCTTAGGAGCCAATGCCCAGATTACAAAGCATAAGACCCAAGCAGGCATCAGACTGCTGTAGGGAGTGTCCAGAGCACAGGCCCAAGGGTAAAGATATGGAGATTGAGCCAAACAGACCCCAAAGGTAAAGACAGGGAAATTGAGGCCATTGTGGAATCACCGGTCCCTTTCAGATTTTACATAGTTATCCACCAAAGGCTCACAAGGAGTGACCCTTCCCAAACAGAGGAAGACTCTATCAGTGCAGTCTCTGCACAGGCTGGGGCTGCACTGTCTGCCCACCTGTGACTATACAGGTGCCTCTTCTCACTCTCTCCCTCCGCAGGGCAGCAGCTTCCTGCCAGCCCATGACCTGTACCTGCCGGGGCTTCTCTTCACTGACCTCCCTCAGCAGAGGCACCTCTGCTCAAGGCTGCCCGCCTGCAACCATGCAGGCCTCTCTCAGCAGACCTGTCCCTTTCGGGGCAGCTCTTCCTGCCGCTTGTGTCTATGCAAGTGTTCTTTATTCCTCTGTCCCTTTTCCTAATAAACCTGTCCTTTAAGTAAAACTAAAGTCTCTATCTCGTCAAGAAACTCACCTGGGAAACTCACCTTGTGCCCCTGAAACGGGAGCTCTGGTGAAACCTTTCCCAGTGTGAACCCAAGGACCTCGCACTCCAAACCCACAGACTTCAAAAACCACAACATATGGCACCCAACATGGGGCTTTTCATGTCATCTGGCACCCCACATAACCAAGGATGCTGAGGGAGGCCAGGGGAAGCCTAAGAACCTCACCCTTTTGACTGGAACAAGAGTCAAAGGATCATTGGCCCCCAGAGTCACAACCACTTAAACTTCCAGTGGAGTCCATTCTATTCCAATACTTTGATCACAGCAATCACTCAAAAAAGAGATCATATTTCAAGTATTACTAACCACATTGTATTCTTGCATTCTTATTTTTTCATCCAGACCTTTAACTATACTTTTTTGGGTGTGCAGACCTTGTGAAAAAAACGGTGTTCTCTCCTGGCACTGTGCCCCGGACTCCTCCAACTTTGAAATCCCTCCACCTTCTGAACAAGCCCAGTGCTCAGAAACAAGGCCTGAGAATTCAACAGTGGCTGTTTGTTCTGGACATTTAGAGAGAGTCCAGGTGAGAGCAGCACCTTCACAAGGTGCTGCTGGCTGCTCCAGTCACAAATAGGGTGGATCTCAGATACAACCCAGGGAGGCAGCATCTGTGCTCAGGTCACAGGCCCCCGCCCTTGGGCAGAGGGAAGGAAAGGGGCCTCCAGGGAGCAGCACAAATGATGTCAGAGGTGTTAGGAATCCACACAGATAAGCATCAGAGAACTGACAGTCTCCTGTAAAAATGTGTGTGTGTGTGTGTGTGTGTGTGTGTGTGTGTGTGGGTGGAGGGACAGGGGAGGCTTCATTTCTTTTTCATAACAGAATTGTCTAAAGTAAAGATGAGAAGATAGACTGTGTCAGAAAGACCCGGGTACAAGTCCTCACTGGGTGGCCCCGGAATAGTTACTGAATCTGCTGGCACCAGGGAAGAATGTTGCCTGTCCTGACTCTGGGAGCAATCAGTGACAGGAAGCCCAGAAGGTGCCCAGCACAAGGCTCAGCGTTCAGTCAACACTCAACAGCTAGTTTGCTTAGATACTATTATTGGGCTGGTAACCCCAACAACTGCAGTTAACACCCAGTATAGATGAACAGCTCCTAAGTTAAATTTTCTAGTCACTCCACTAGATAAGGTAAAAAGAAACAAGATTCACTTTGACGATATAATTTAACCCAATATATAAGAACTATTATTTCAAAAAAAAAAGGATTATTTCAACATGTTATCTTTAAAAAGTTATTATGAAATATTTTATACATTTTTTTTTCTCGAAGTCTTTGAGACTGCTGTGAACTTACATTTACAGCACATCTGAATTTAGATCCACCCAATTTTGATGTGGCTGATGTGTCTGGACATCCCTGGGCAGCACAGGTCTCGGAGGAATTGCTGGATGACCCTTCCTGATCAGTCTGGGCCTGTGTTTAAGATGCAAGCACTCCCTCCCCAGGGCGAGCAACTTTCTATAATGCTACCAAAGTTGAAGAGACAAAAAAGGCAAATTATCAAGAAATAAATGGTTTATTTTTCTTTATATCCATAGATTAGTAATAATAATACCATTATACAATCTTGCCTCTCTTGACAGAAAGCATTATTTGTACCAAAAAAAAAAAAAAAAAAAAATCAAAACACCCTGGCTTTGACTTGGGGCCAACAAGGCCTAAGGTAATTGGGACCCAAACAGGACATGACCAAACTGATCATTTTGGGCAGAAGGGAATGCTGGGATGACTTGGAGATCTCCACCTGGGGTCCCTGAGGGCTAATGAGTAACAGAAAATGAGAGCTTGTGAGTGCTGGAATCATCTGGGCCAGCCCCCTGATTTATAGAGCTCAGGCTCACCTGTAGTCTTGATGAGAAAATATATTATTGAGCAAATGAATATAATAGATTCCAGCAGAACATCTGGCCCAGGTGCAACAAACACTCCAACGCAGGCATAATTAACAAGTTTGCTTACTTACAGCTCCTTCTTTTTCAAGATTCATGGCCAGGGCCTCAGCACTCTTATCTACGAGGTCGGGCAGCCGGCCAAGCTGGTCTCTCTCACAAAGCCATTCCCAAATGCCTGCATCTTTCCCCCCTTGCCTTGCCCACCTTGCCTGGGGACTTCGCCGCAAATGGTTGTGCCTGCTGAAAAATGACATTATCCATGTAATAGATATGGGCACGGTTGTGTATAAAAGGAACCCTTGGTCTTTAAATGGGTGCTCAGACCTTACGGAGCTACCCAGGTCTGGGACCTCATGCATGAATAATAAAGCTTCTCCTGACCTCACCATTCCTGAAGTACCCTGGGTAAAGGCTAGAATTTATTTCTACAACAGTCGAAGCTGAGCACATGGAGGGTGCATACAGGTGATGGCTGAAGCTCCAACATGAGTTCACGAACAGATGGAACTGTAAGAGGCAGGATGGCATACTAAAAAAAACACCTTCTCCTCTGCTGGTGTCAAAGTAAGAAAAGAGCTGATATTTTAAAAACAAGGGGATTCTGGAATGCAATTTAAAAAAAAATCAAACAAACAAAACAAATGCCAGAGAAGTTTAAAAAATTTCAGCAAAGTTTTTGAGGTTAGTCCTGTTGGAAATGGGGGCCTGGGCTTGTTAATAGATCCCAGTTCTTTTCAGTCTCAAGAATCTCTCTTTACTTAATGGCACTTGGAAAGACTGGCATAAGATGACATTTGGATAGACGCCACTTTCTGCAAATGGAAAAGAACTGGCCTCTGAGTTTTGTGAAAGTAAAAAAACAAGGAAAATGCTAAGCCTCAAATTTCCTACTTTATTCTTAGTCTATAGAATGTTTGCCGTCCCAAATGAAGAACAAAAGCAAATGGAGGGCCTCCTTGGTGGCGCAAGGGGTTAAGCACAGCACTATGAAGCAATCCACAGCCTCTGCAGCATGAGTTCAATCCCCGGCCGGCCAGGGAGCAACCTACATGGCTCATCAGACCTCTCCTGACTCGCCCGCCGCTCCCCTCAGCAGTGTATTTCAGTAGATCTGCCTGTTCTGCTCCCCCGCACCTCTGGCCTGTACCCAGCTCTTGTACGCATAAATAAATAAATCTTTAAAAAAAAACAAAAAACAAATGGAAACTCTTTCTCTGTAAAGAGAACACATTGAACATCTTTACCTTAAATGACAAGCAGACCAGGAAAGGACAGTACATTAAAAAAAGAAGAAAAAGACAAGGATATGAATATAAGTATTGAAGTTCCAAATATACTAATCCATTCCTATTGGTTTCATTTTCTGCTTCTTTAACAAACTGAAGAAAACTTGCATAAGGAATGGCTACTGACTGAGTTAGCTGAGATGGGACAGGCTTCTCAGCACCTGAGGCTGCAGGGCCTGGTGTCCTGCCTGGAGATGCCTCACCAAACTTCCTTACCGTCTACATCTGAAAATGACCAAAATCAACTCCTGGCAGAGTAATAAAGTATTCAAATAACTTGTTATAACAGAGCAGAAATATTTGGACTTAGGCATTAATTTCTTAAACCTTCATTGAGGGTTTAGAATCAAGTGATCATTTCATGCAAATTCATTTCTTTTGACTCACAGAGGCAAAGGTTTAGTGTTTTAATCTGGCCTGGAAATTGTACTTCAGTGTTCAATGGTTTGAAACTTCCTCGGAGATATTAGGGAATTAAATGGATTAAAAGCTTTAAAGAATATAAATATAAATGTGTGTGCCCTTGTATATACATATTTAAATACTTGTTTAAACGCCCTGAGAGGACACCCATCAGTGCGTATAAACCCTAATCCCTCTGGTGATCATTTAGCACCAAGCTATTCTAATGGGGGTGACGGGGAGGGGGGAGTGTGCAGAATTCAAAAGAACACAGGACAACACGAGGCTATGAAAAGGCTGCGACTCGAGTACTAATGTCCTTGCTGGCTTCTTACTTGTTCCAGGACTCCCGCTCAATCCCCTCTCCTCCCCTGCCCTAAATGGAAAGCCCTCGAAGGAATTCTTGTGGTGCTCCTAAGTGGGTGAGTAGGGGTTCGAGGCCAGCCAGCATGACAGCAAGGAAAGAATACCCCCAGAGGAGTCTTCAAAGATGTGAAAACACAAAACAGAAGTGCAACATAACAGCCTGGGAGCATCGCCACGCGGTGAGGACAGTGATTAAGGGAGGCATCCTGTCTGTCAAGGTGAGGGGAGCTAGCCTGTATAGGGGAACCCTGCATCTGTTTCTGCACCACTGGGCATGGCACAGTCAGCATGACTTGCTCTCAGAGTGGGAAGACAACATAGGCCATTCTCTGCAACTGTCCGTGACCCCCAGGAAGTGTTATTCTTGACATGGTGAGAAGCAGTCCAGATCCTCCTTTCTTCCTTCTGACACACTGACAGGGAGCACGAAGCCCAGTGCTGTGATCTCTAGCAGGCAACCTCTGGGTGTTCTTTAGGAGATCTTCCTTTGGGAGAAAACCATCAAGGCCTCTCCCAGTCCACCCAGCAGGAAGCTGCAAAAAAAGAAAAAAAGCAGAAGATCAGTGTTTCACATTCCTCCTGGAGCTGCAGACCCAATGAGCTGGCTTGGAAGCCCCCTCATGCTGCCACCTAGAGGCCCATTCCCTGCTCAGACTGCCTGTGGAAGTCAGGCTCCAGAACTGCCCCCCTCCCCACCTTTGGAGCAATGTTCCTGAATAAGCCATGCAGTGGGAGGGGAGTGAGCTTTCAGGTGGGTTTTCCTTCTGTCAGAGAAGGTGATGTGTCCCACTCATTCTGACCAGGGAAGGTGGCAGCACTGATCTGCTGTTCTCCCAACATCCCTCAAAGAAGGCACACACCGGGCCTCCCAGGGGGCGCAGCGGTTGAGCGCTGGGTTGCGAAGCTGCCCACAGCCTCTGCAGCGCTGGTTCGATCCCTGGCTGCTCCCCGGGCACTGGAGGAGGGTCCCACATGGCGCGCAGACCTCTCTCTGCAGCCCGCTGCTCTCCTCAGCAGTGTATTTCATCAGTCTGCCTGCTCTGCTCCCTGCTCTGGCTCTGGTGAATTCTCTCACCCTCCCGCACTTCTGACTGTACCCAGTGCTTGTATAAATAAATAAAAATAAATCTTAAAAAAAAAAAAAAGGCACACACCATCTTCAACACCTGAGCAAGCACAGAAGAACTGTGACCCGATGCAATGGCTGCAGAGAGCTTTGGCTGGGGAGGGTTTTATTTCCACGAGTGCAGCCAGAGGCTCAGGTCATTTCTACACTTTCCACTAATCTTCCTTAATCACCAGGGAGAAGAACAGAGTAGCGGCTGGCTCTTTGCCACTTTTACTCCCACAGCCTTAGAACAATGCTGAAGTGTAATAACCTTGTATTTCATCCCTTTGGCTTAGCTATTTTATGAAACACCAAAGCAGCTTAGTGAATGCTAAATGAAAACAAAACTTGGTTCCATTTACTGTTAAGAGAGCCAGGGAGGTAAGCTTTTGACGCTGTTTAGAAAACAGCAGAAGCTAACATGGGGTGCAAGAATCTTAATAGCATTTCAACTATTTAAGTCAGAGTTTCACTGAACTGTTTGCAAATCATGTAATCCTGCTCACTCCTGAAATGAACAAACTTCCTGTAACTAAGGCCTAAGCATCACCCCACCAGAAACAGTGGTCTCCAGCATCTCTTCCAGGGGGGTTGTTTTCAGCATATCTCAGTCCTCTTTTCTCCCTTTGGGGACCAGAGACCCCATTTCATTTTTACATTCATCATTGCAGTTATTCAATTAATTCCTCTTGAACCCATTAGACAGCAGACAGAGTGAACCCTTCTTCCAGCTGAAGGCACTGCACTTAATGCAGCTCTCACTACTTATTCAATGAATGATGACATTCTTATACTTGCTCCCCTACTCCCATCAATATTCTAAACTATTTTTGCTGTTTTCTCTTTTCCTCATCAAAACCTGTCTGCCCAATTGGGCCTCCCCGGTGGCGCAGCGGTTGAGCGCTGGGTTGCGAAGCTGCCCGCGGCCTCTGCAGCGCCGGTTCGATCCCCGGCTGCTCCCGGCCACCAGAGGAGGGTCCCACATGGCGCGCAGACCTCTCCTGCCGCCCGCTGCTCCCCTCAGCAGTGTACTTCAGTCCTTCTGCCTGCTCTGCTCCCCGCTCTGGCTCTGGTGAATTCTCTCACCCTCCCGTGCTTCTGACTGTACCCAGTGCATGTACAAACAAACCAAAAACAAACAAACAAATAAATAAATAAAAAACATGCCTCTATTAAAAAAAAAAAAAAAAACAAACAAAACCTGTCTGCCCAATATATTATTCCCTCAGGTCCTTGCTGAGTGACAGTTCACATCTGATAAGTCACTCTGTGCTGAGAGGTAATGAGCAATATTTATTTAGAAGGCCCTTCTTCAAAAGCATTTTCAAGAGGAGTTTTTAAATTTTTAATGCAAATGGAGAGCTGATAAATTTCAGACACCATGATCCTACTAGAGGTATTTTAGAGTGTGTTGGGAGAAGTCTTCCTCTAAATTCATTCTTCCTACAAAGAGACGTAGACATTCTCCATGAAGCTCCCTAAATTTAAAAGGATAAGATATCTTTACCTCAAAAATGATTAGAGCATTTCCTAAAGACTCTTGGTACCATGACCCTCAGGCTGGTGACCTAAGATCAATGGCAGACTCAATGCAAAGGGGAGAAGAGGCCTTGTTCTAGCTATTTCTTTCTCTCCTTACACCCAAACCACTCGATGAAAGAGTGATTCTCCTAGTCTAAAAAGAATCCAAAGGGGCACCAACAACTAATTCTGCTCAGCAGGGATACTGTTTGCAGTTCAGAATTTTTTTTCTTTTTTCTGAACTAAATGTCTTTTGCTAAAATTTTGCAACAGAGAGAATTCACATGGCTACAGAGCATAAAAGTCTGTTAATTATAAAATGAACAATTAAATAAGAATCTGAATATTTAAATTACTGGGATTGAGATAGATTGTTTTTATAATTAAAACAAGATAATTTACTGCACAAGAGCCATTGATTTTAGTTAAAGCCATTGATTAAAGTTAAAAGTTGATCAATGTCGGGTTTGTAATTTTTCTTGTGTACAGTATTTAGAAGGCTGCCACTTGTTATTTATCCAGCAAGCACTGAGTGCTACATAGAGAGATGCAAAGGTGAATAAAACAAGGTGGTCCCTGAGTTGAGGCGGTCACAGCTGGAGGTCACACAGAGTGTGTGCCCCTGCCTATCACTCAGGAGGTGCTGCGGGGTTGTGCACAAAGGGCATAGGAGGGGCTGCTGACTTCATAACTTGAGATGATCCAAATCTTTAATTAGGAGATAGGCAAGGTTCTTCAGATCTTGTTGAATTTCCTCATTAACCACCATAAACCTTTAGATCAGTGATTCCCACCTGTGCTAATTTTGCCCCCAAAGGGGACAGCTGGCAATGTCAGAGACCTATTTGGTTGTTTCAAGTGAGGGGGTACAACCAGCATCTAGTGATTTAAGGGTCAGGTTTGCTATTAAACATACTACAGGGCCCAGGAGAGTCAACAACAAAAAATTATTTGGTCCAATTTGTCAACAGCGCCGAGGGGAAATCTAACGTATTTCGTGCTGCTAAGCCAGGTAAAGAGAAGATAAAGAGCAATGCATGCGTTTATGCCTTAGCCATGACCTCACCATGCTGGAATCATGGACCGTGTCCATAGTCTCAGAGTCCAGCAGGCACCCTGTGCAGAATGAATGGGAGTAGAAGCAAATGGATTTGAGGCTGTCAGGCAGACAGTGTGTGCTCCTCTTGGCCAGTCTGGGCGGTGAAGAACCCAAGGCCAGGTGAGGGCCCGCCTCTACCCATCCAGCATGTGCTGCTCTGAGGAAGTGCAAGCCAACATTACAGCTGCCCACACTTTCAAAACAATCTGGTGGTTTGGACTTTTATGAAGAAATACGCCAATTTCTAAATATTGATGAATAATTTGAAATTTGACAAACAATAACTTTACAAGCAAACACACAGATCAAAGAAAACCAGGCCTGCAGTCTCTGCCTGTGTCCATGGCCAAGACCAGCCCCACCCCTGTCCAGAATCTGAGGGCTGGTCATCTCGTCACGGCTTGAACACCCCCAGTATATGAACAACACAGACCAGTTCTGTGTAACAGACAGAAAATTCGAAACACAGTCTGACACTCCTTTCTGCTGGTTCACTTTGTGGTTGGAAAATTCTTTGAGGCTGAAAACACACCATCCTTAAACTCAAGAGTTCTCAAAAATCAGGAAATTCCAAAGTCAAGGTTCCTTTTGCAATAATCACACATGCTGTTTCCTTGATTTGGGTACACACTGCTTTTCTTTCCATTTTGTTCAGGGCATACCATAAAGTTCACAGGATGTGAAACAGCCTGGAGACACGGCCTCACACAGAAAGTCACTGGAATAGACAGACCTAGCGTTTCCTCCCCAGTGGAGGGCTGTCTCGCTCTCATTTCCCACATTCAAATCAACACCTTTTTTTTTTTTTAGTTAATTCTAAAATTCTATACAAAATATTGTCAAGGAGGGCTTATTTGTAAGAAAGAAAAATACTGTCATGAATTTAGATGATCAATATGAAGTTTGTAGAAATGTGGGAAGTCTCAAGAATGCACCAGGACTCAAACCCTTTTTCTCCTGGAATTTGGGTTTTCAGATGTTAACCTGTCCACTATTTGTGGCATCCCCTCCTAGAAGGATAGGAGCAGAGGAAGCAGGAGAACCACAGGATCAGCACCCTGCCCCACAGCTCCAGCTCTCACCAATTAATAAGTCTCAACATTGGCACCTCCTGCCCCAATTCCTCCCTTCCTGGTACAAGGTGGGGCTGGGGGGGAGAGGGGCGGGTGGCGGGCACACCCTCTTCCATCCTCAGTCTACCTAAGCCTCTCCCTTCTGCATAAGGTCCATTTTCCAGCCAGTTCCCTCCTGATCACTCTGTTCTCTCTTCTTTCAGTTTGTACATACATCAGGCATCCAAACAATTATGACCCCATCCCATACATTTTCTTTTTGACTTCCCTTGAAAACTCACTGAGGATTGGTTGTTGTCTTTTACTTCTTAATGGCTTCCACACATTCTGCATAGAGTAGACATTTGATAAATATTTTTAGCTGATGAGCAGAATTATAGCTTATAGTATTAAAGAGTCTAAGTCAATGAGATCTTTTCTCTAAAAACATCCAGCGGACATTCTTAGTTCACCATCAGCCCTTGACAAGAAATGAAACCGGTTTGTCCTGAGTAACATTCCTTCTGTTTTGCTGTTGAATCTTTAAGGTTTTATTTACAGATGATTCCACTGTTAGTAAGAGGAACATTTAGGACAATTTCCCTTCCATCTCCATTATGACCCATTTCTACCTAGAAATGGTCTACACTGCTGGTCAATCCTTGGCATTTTTCAAGTCAGCTCTAGGAAGGTACATGACAGGTAATGTGGTCTTGGACACAGACATCTGGTTTGATTCCTGGTCCACTCATGTCATAGTACAAAATCTTGGGAAATCATGTAAAAGACCAAACCTCAGCTTCTTCATCTTTAAAATGGGAGTAACTTGTACTCCTACAATTTGCTTATACATGACAGCTATAAAGACGTATATAACAAAATTCTGTAGCATAGCAGACATGCATTCCATGTCACCATCAAAAAATGGGGTAAACTTAGGAGAATTATTGACAGTAAATGAGATAGTATTAATGTAAAAGTGTCTGAAACATAGAAGTTGCTCAATAAATGGTTTGTTATTACTATTAAAAGGAAAAGGAGGGAAAAAATAAACTAAAAAAAAATAAAAGGAAAAGGAGGAGACCCCAACAGGGAAAGGAGGATCAGGAAGGTGTAGAAGTATTTCCTAATTTTTTCTTTTGCTTCCACTTCTTGAGCAGGAAATGCCTCATCAAGTAGGAGCTCCCAAGAGAGAATGAGAATCAATTTTTGTTTAATGCCACAAGCAAAAAAAATGAATTTCTGTCAGTCTGGGATGGTTTAAATCTGGGTCTTCCCTCAAGCAGGAAGATGAGCAACTATAGATACCACAGGGATAACAATTTTTCACTTTTATCCAACAACAGTTCCTGGCCTTTGACAAATGTTTATTGAATGAATGAACCCCTTCTAGGTCAAGACTGCATGAGATGCTAAATCACCTCCTAGACTATCTCATCCTGGTATTCACATATTTATCCTGTAGGAATCTCCAACAGAAGTTTAAAAATATTGTTTCCATGACTACAATAGCACCAGGGATTGGTCACAAGAAATTCTAGAAGACAGGAGGCTTCCATGGGCACACCAGCACTGTGGCTCTTGATTCAGGGGTCAATTCTGCAGCTCCAACTTATAAACCAATGCAAACGAAAACAGAACAAAAACTAGCAAAAAAAAAAAATGGGGGGACCAGTTCTTAGGATTACTTTGATTCCAAGCAAGAGGAAAAAACGCTGATTTTCTAGAACCATGCCTTATTTGAACAAAGCTAAGTAATGCCCTTCCTTTCTGTATTACTAATAAGGAAATATAAAAACCTATTCTAAAACTTTCTGTAATTCAAGTTTGCAGTGCCATTCCATGCAGGTGAGGTGGAAGCAGAGAGGGAATCTTCCAAACAATTATGTCAAAACTGAAATGGAAATAAACATTGGCTTAAAATGGCCCTAGGTTTGTTTTTAAGATAAGAAGTAGGAGACTAGTAAGCATGTGGCTCCTCTGCTCAAAATCCTCTAATTGCTTCCCATTTCCCTCAGCATAAAGCCAACTTCTTATAATGTCCTTTAAGACTCCACAAGGTTAGGGTCTCCCTGGTGGTGCAAGGGGTTAAGCTCAGCCCTGTGAAGCTGTCCGCAGCCTCTGCAGCATGAGTTCAATCCTGGGCCTGGCCGGGGAGCAACCCACATGGCACAGCAGACCTCTCCTGACTCTCCCACTGCTCCCCTCAGCAGTGTATTACAATAGATCTGCCTGTTCTGTTCCCCACTCTGTCTCTGGTGGATCTTCTCACTGCTTTCCTTCCACCCCACACCTCTGGCCTGTACCCCAGTTCTTGTATACATAAAATAAATAAATCTTTAAAAAAAAAAGGCCCCACAAAGTTAGCTGTCAACTGCCTCTCTCATGTCATCTCTTAATACTCTCCCTCTTGTCACACTGCTCTAGGTAGGCCAAGCACATGGCCACCTCAGGACCTTTGCACTTGCTGATCCCCCCAACTTTCCCTTGGTTCACTTCCTTACTTCCATCAAGTCTCTGCTCATGTATCATAGAGGGAGGCAGTGCTGTCTTTACATAAACTGATGAGTGCATTCTAAACAGAATGATTTGGTGATTTTCTAAGAGAAAGTGAACTGAAGGATCAAAGAAAAGGAAAGAAAGCCAAACAAAGAGAGCTAGCTAGATCTCTAGATCTATATAAGCATCTGTCTGTCCATCTATTATACCTACCTATCAAAAAATAGTGACTCACAATATGGTGACTCTTGTGTGGATGAATGACTGCAAGGTGTACTAGTGATGTTGTTTGTTGATCTGAAGGTGGACTGTGTAGCTGTGGTATGCTCAGTGTGTGAAAATCATCAAGTTGTATATTCACGATATATACACTTTTTTAGATGGACTTTCATATGTCAACAAAACATATGCCCAACACACACAGCCCCTTTCTTCAACATCTGGGGGGAAAAGTTTATATCCTGATGAAATTCAAACAACTAACTTGCACTTCCTCTCTCTATGCAGAAGACTTACCATCCTACAGTTGCTCTGGTCAGGATCATATCAAACAGCAGTATTGATAAACCAGCTGTGATTACCTGCAGAAATAATTTCAACAATAGGTCATCAAAGCAGCAGGACTTCAGTAACCTTCTCCAAAGTCACTTTTACAAGCTCAGTTCAGATCCCCGACATTAGCCATTTCTTTCCAATGTCCTTTCCCCACATTCTTCCTAGAATTTAGTGTTGCCCCTGAGCAAAGCATTTGGTATAGAAAATGTTAAGTCCTAGTCTATTTTGGAGGTGGGAATTTTCAAAGCATTTAACTTCCAAACTTTTTAATAGAGGAGGCACACAGCCAACATCTCACTCATCTCTACAGAGCAGGGGGGCCTGGTAAGAACACTCATTTCCATCTTGTCTCAGCCATGCAGAATTAATTTGCAAGGTCAGTGGTGCTCATTAACCTGCTGCCAGATCCTCCAAAAAAAAAACATATCCATCAAGCCATCTTAAGCACTGTCTCTCTCCCTGTCCTAATGCCCTGTCTTTTTGGCCTGTGTCACACATTCTAAGAAACCAGGTGCCTCCTTGGGGAAGGGAGCAATTAAATAATTAATTATTTGCAAATATCTAGAAGTCAAAGGGAAGAAGTTATCCCTGCATCTCTGTGGGTCAGAAATTAGAGAAAAGTTTACCTCCCAGAAGTAGCTCCAGGTCATGAAGCCCCGAAGGAATGGCACTAAGGAGATGCAGACCCCTGCCGTGTGTCTAAACAGTGTGTGTGAATCAAGACCCAGTGCTGTGAACATGTGTAACAACTGCTCAGGAAAAGATGTTTATTTTTGCCAGAATTTTGTATTCTGAAACGGTATTCTGAAATGCAGAACCGCTTCCATTAAGAAGGACACCCTAAAGATTGGCTTTCTTGAAATGAGAATAAACAGGCGATATTAGCATGTGACACTCAGACTGAAAGCCCTTGGAAAAGTCAACTACCCCTGACATCTCACTCAAGGGACTTCAAAGACTGTCTCCTCAGGTGGCCAGGCTGGAAACAAGGCAGCGAGCAGATGGTGGGAAGGAAGGCGTGTGTTTAAGGAGCCTCATTTTCATTCATTGATCATTTACTATTTCAAATAGAAGTCTGAAAATATAAACCTTTCAGTATGTAAACTTTGTGATTCTGGAACCTTGCAGCTTACCCTTTTCACTTTCTGGTTGCTGTCCTTTATTGATTTGCAGCAAAAACCTTGACCACAAAAAAGACTTGTGTGGTAATCAGGGACAAAAAAGAAGTGGCAACATGGTCAGAGAGACCATAGCAAAGCAGAACTCAAAGCAGCACAGGAAAGATTTCTCAAAGTGCTGAACAGCATGGAGGTGCCCTTTTGTCTTAATATGACTGTGATGAGGGTCTCCCTGGTGGAGCAGGCGGATGAGTGCAGCGCCATGAGGCTGTCCGCAGCCTCTGCAGTGCCAGTTCGATCCCTGCCGGCCTCGGAGCAACCCACATGGTGAGCAGACCTCTCCTGTCTCGCCCGCTGCTCCCCTCAGCAGTGTATTTCGTCAGTCTGCCTGTTCTGTTCCCAGCTCTGTCTCTGGTGAATCCTCTCACCCTCCCGTGCATCTGGCCTGTACCCTGTCTCTTGTATGAATAAAATAAATCTTTAAAAAAAATTTAAAAATAAAAACAAACAAAAAAAAACCCAAAAAGTTGTTGAATCAATACATAAATATGACTGTGATGAGTGGCAGACACACACACAAATTTTTATCTAACATTTTGTTTAGGACTTTTCCATCTATGATGCAAATGAAGTGGGCCAACAAGTTATTACCTTGCAACCTAATTGTTTGGTTTTGTAACAAGGTTATACTGACCACATAAACTCGTTTATCAGCACAAGGATACAAATGCTCATATATCAGCATCTGTCACTTTGCAAAAGTCACTATAGAAGAAGGCACGAATGGCAGCATAAGATATTTTCCTGTAAGGGATAAAGTTGACCTTCACTATAAAAGTAAAACCCAACTTTAATGTCCCTAAACCTGGAGCTTCTAGTTGGGAGTGGCCCAGTTGAAATACAGAGGTAGTAATGGCCAGTGTCCTCACCAAGTCTTTCTCCTTGATTCAAGCTTGCCATTTTAGTTTTACCAAGACTGTATTTCATTTAGGTTTTCCACTTCATTAACATTTAGTTGTGTGAGTTCAACAATCTAGAGGAGATGGACAAATTCCTACAACTCTACAATCACTCAAAGCTAGATAAAGAAGAAATAGAACACCTAAACAGACCAATTACAAGCAGCGAAATTGAAATGGTAATCAAAAACCTTCCCAAAAACAAAAGCCCAGGATCTGATGGATTTACAAATGAATTCTACCAAACATTCAGAAATGAATTAGTGCCTATCCTTCACAAACTCTTCCAAAAAATTGAGAAGGAAGGGATAATACCAAACACGTTCTATGAAGCCAACATTACACTAATACCAAAACCGAACAAGGACAATACAAAAAAAGAAAACTACAGGCCAATCTCCCTAATGAACACTGATGCAAAAATCCTCAATAAAACTTTAGCTATCAGAATCCAACAATGTATCCATAAGATAATTCACCACGACCAAGTAGGATTCATTCCAGAAACACAAGGATGGTTCAATATCTGAAAATCAATCAACGTTACCCAACACATCAACAAAAAGAAATATAAAAACCATATGATAATATCAATAGATGCCAAGAAAGCTTTCAACAAAGTGCAACACCCATTCATGATAAAAGCCCTTGAAATTCTTGGGATACAAGGAACATACCTCAACATCATAAAGGCCATATATGACAAGCCAACAGCCAGTATCATTCTCAATGGTGAAAAGCTGAAAGCATTTCCATTAAGATCTGGAACAAGACAAGGATGTCCACTCTCACCACTGCTTTTCAATATAATACTGGAGTACTAGCCAGAGCAATAAGACAAGAGAAAGACATACAAGGAATCCAAATAGGAAAAGAAGAAGTCAAACTGTTAGGGGGAAAAGGATGTCCTAAAGATAATTCCATACAGGCTTTGTGGACTCCACCCCCACCCCAGGCCAAAGCCAAAGACACTGGGAACTCCAAATCCCATCACCACCAAAGGGAAGGTGGCTGGGACCTGAGGGTGGGGGTAAGCAGCCAGGTTGATAAAAGGCAGACACGTGGGCTTTGGGGGATCCCCCATTTTGGCTCTCCACTAGGTAGCAGCGTCCAGCCAGCCCTGAGAGTGCCTTTGGGTTTCCAGGTCGGCGGATTGGGTAGGACGCATTAAAGACTTTGTTTCCCTATTTTCTCCCCGAGTTGTACATTTTCCTTATTTTCTTTTCCCTTGTAAATAAACCTTTTATTAACCTTTTGTGTATGCCTGTAGTAGAGTATTAATAAGTCCTTTTTAAGCGCGCGGGTGAGGACCCACAGCCAGGCAACCCGCTCAATATTGGGGCTGCCCTATAACAAAACTATCACTATTTGCAGATGATATGATAATATACATAGACCCCAAAAACTCTAGAAAAACTAATTCAACTAATCAATCAGTTCAGTAAAGTGGCAGGATACAAAAGCAACATGCAAAAATCAGTAGCCTTCCTATACACAAACAATAAATCTAAAGAAGAAGAAATAAAAAAAAAATCCCTTTTATTATCAAAACAAAAAAAATCAAAAACTTGGGAATAAATCTAACAAAAGAGGTAAAGGACCTATACAAAGGAAACTATAAAACACTGTTAAAAGAAATAGAAGAAGACACAAAGAAATGGAAAGACTACCCTGCTCATGGATTGGAAGAATAAACATTATTACAATGGCCATCCTACCAAAAGCAATATACAGATTCAATGCTATTCCAATCAAAATTTCAATGTCATTCTTCAAAGAAATAGAACAATTATTGATGAAATTCATATGGAATCACCAAAAACCGCGAATGGCCAAAGCTCTCCTGAAAAAAAAAATAGAAGGGAATGTAGGCATCACACTCCCAGACTGCAAACTATACTACAAAGCCATAATCATCAAAACTGCATGGTACTGGAACAAGAACAGACACACATACCAATGGAATCGAATAGAAAATCCAGAAATAAACCCACAGATTTATGGTCAACTAATCTTTGACAAAGGAGCAAAGAATATGCATTGGAGCAAAGGAAGTTTGTTCAATAAATGGTGCTGGGAAAACTGGGTCGCTACATGCAAAAGAATGAAGCTTAACCACTACCTAACACCATGCACAAAACCCAACTCAAAATGGATTAAAGAACTAGACATAAGACCTGAAACCATAAAATACATAGAAGGAAATATAGGTGAAACACTCCATGATATGCACCTCGAAGACATCTTTACAGACACATCACCCAAAACAGTAATAGTGAAGGCAAAGATAAGCAGCTGGGACTATATTAAATTAAAGAGCTTCTGCACAGCAAAAGAGACAATAACAAAAACAGAGAGAAACCCCACCAACTGGGAGAACATTTTTGCACACAACACTAATGATAAAGGACTGATCACAAAAATCTACAAAGAGCTGATGACACTCAACATAAAGAAAATAATCCAGTCAAAAAATGGGCAGAAGAGCTAAAAAGAAACTTCTCTGAAGAGGAAATGCAAATGGACAACAGGCATATGAAAAAATGTTCAACATCACTTGTAATCAGGGAAATGCGAATCAAAACTACAATGAGATACCATCTTACACCAGTGAGAATGGCACATATTAAAATAACTAGAAACAACAAATGTTGGCGAGGGTGTGGAGAAAAAGGAACTCTCCTGCACTGTTGGTGGAAGTGCAAACTGGTCCAACCACTATGGAGAGCTGTGTGGAGATTTCTGGACCTACTAAACATAGAGCTTCCATATGATCCAGCAATTCCACTCCTAGGTATTTACCCAAAAGACACAGAAACATCAATTCCAAAGAACACCTGCACCCCTATGTTTATAGCAGCACTGTTTACAATAGCTAAGCTTTGGAGACAACCCAAATGCTCAAAAATAGATGACTGGATCAAGAAGATGTGGTACATATACACCATG